ATATTACAGGGATTTATGTGGGGAGAGGCCAGGGGGAGATGCCTCGGTAGCATGAAGCCTTTTGGTGCGGGTGAGTAATAAACTATTGTCCTTGTAGTCTATTTATAGCAGCTGAGCCGGAGGATTAGTTGTGGGGTTATTTTTGGAGCAGCTGAAGGCAGTTGCTGGACGGCGTTTCTGAGCTAATCAAGCAAACATTTTCTGTCTCGCCTGTGCAGAGGCTGCGTGTCCCCGGCAAGGCTGAGGCCTGGGGTGGGGTGCCAGGTTACCATATCTGATGGGCTTGTCTTGGGCACCCTTGGATGGTGTCCTGCTGCCCTGATTTAGCTCATCCCCCAAGCAGCTGGCTGAACCCCCCACCAAGCACCTGGGGGAAATGAGGACCAGCAGCTGGACCCCGTGTCGGTTGGGGGTGACATCCTCCTTGTCTACACACAGCACTGACCCTGCCCTACCCCACCAGTGATGTGTCCATGGAGCCACAATAACCAGAGGCATCCTCGATCCTGCAGCTGATGGTCCAAGGTCCCCAGCACCCAGCTGTCCCCTCCTCATCAGTGGTTCCCCCATCCCCTTTGCTCAAGGCCTTCCTGACTCCTTTGTGGGGCTGACCTCTGTCCCTTCCCAAAAGCCAGGCTGCACAGCAGGCTGTGCCTTTGTGAGAATTTGCCTTCCCACCTCCTCCATCCTTTTTTTTCCCCTTTTTCTTTTCTCCTTTTCAAGCCCCAAAGGTCACTTGTAGCCCCATCCCCTCCCATTCAGCCTTCTTGCAGATCTGGGCTCTCCCCACCAGCCTCTGCTGGGGACCTGAGCAAACAGGGCCGGGTTAACCAGCGCAGCTGTATGCTAATGACCACTGCCCGCTTAACTCTCCTCCGCTGAGTAAAGTCAACCCCACTATTGTACCCACCTCCTCAAACAAGCCACAAAACCCCAGCGCGTTCCCGGGGCCGGCTGCGGGGTGGCACCCAATTTCCAGCTCACTTGTAATTCATCATCCCCAGCTCGGGCTCCATCGTCCCCCTCCTCCTGCCTCCCCCTCCGGACCCTTTTGTCTTTCTTCCTTTGCCCTTTTGTGCACGTCTGGTTTTTAATAGCGCTTGGCAGCTGGTTGTGGTTTCTCTCCTCCAGCTTTGTTTGCTGCCCACTGATTGATGGTGATGCCTTTCCCACCCCCTGCTCTCTCCTCCTGCTTCTCGCCCTTCCCCAGATCCCAGGCCAACCGCAGCCCCTCCAATCCTCCTTCCTGGGCAGCATATGTCAGGAATTCACTGTGTACATAGAGGTGTGCAGCCAAGCAGGCAGTTCAGGTGTCTGGGGAGGAGGTAGTGTGTTTCCTGGCACTGTGGGGTCATGCTGGCGTGGGCAGTGATGGACCATCCCCTTCTTGGGGCTGGTAAGTGGCACCTACTGGCACATCTCAGCCTTTTGAGGGGGTCACAGGGAGCAGAGAGGAGTTGTGGGGGTATTGTGCAAGTAAGCAGGACAGCCATGTGCTGTTGACACAGGTGGGGATGTATTTGGCAGCTGGCTCCATGGGCAAACACACCTGCCTGGGCGGCTGCTTTGGCATCCCTGACCACACGCGCTGGCTAAAGTCTGAAATCCCTGCTCAGATCAAGCTGCGCTCTGCACCTGCTCCTCTCCACACCCACCTCGTGCTGGGGACAGCCCCCGTGGCAGGAAATCTCCCTGCCAGCTGCTGCTCTGTGGGAAAGGCAAGAGGATGGGGATGCTCAGTGTGGGGGCTGTGAGGGGGCAAGGGGGCTTGGCACCCTTCTTGGCCTGAAGCTCAGTGTGCTGTGGATATGTTTGGCTCTCTGGTGCCACTTTGGGTTTAGGTGTGGGGGAAGAAGTCACCACAGTCATGCAGGAGGGACTGACCCCAGGTGTTGCCCAGGGGTGTTGTGTCATATCCAGAGCCATGTGGTCTCAGCCCCTTGGTCCTCAGAGGTGCCTCGTGTCTTCTCTTTCAGACCTTCATCTTCACAGACGGGGAGGATGAGGAGCTGAAGAAGCAAGCACGTGAGTCTGTGGCTCTTGTCCCTTTGTGTGTGTGACCTAGCCAGGTCCCCTGAAGAGCCCCCACCTGTGAAGCATGACTGGTGTGGAGCCTGCCCTGGCAACTCTGAAAAAGCCCTCACCCCAGGGACCTGGGCTAAGAATGAGGCAACTTGTGTCACTGATTATGCTTAGAGCATCTTTTGCCCAGGAGCCCCACCTGCAGACAGGTTTCCTTCCCAGTCAGCCCAGTCCATCTCACGCATGATGCTGCTGGGGAGCACGATACAGGGGTGGGTGCCTTTGCCCCAGTTTGCCCCTGGGGTGAGCTGGGATTGATGGGTAGGACAGAGTTTCATGGTAGCATTTCTCTGGCAACTATTCTCCGGGCTAGGGTCAGTGTGGTCTCTTCTCCCAATGGAAATGACTCCTTTTCAGACTGGGAAGTGACTGCCTTTGAACTGAGTGAGCAAAATCAGGCAGGATTTTGGCTACCCAGTCCTGCAAAAGATGGTTTGTGACCACCCCCTCACCCTCAGGGTGGCTGGTACATGTCCTTGGGGTGGACAAGGTGACATAGGGTGGCATCATGCATAGAATGTGGGATGTGGTTGAACCCTGGTGCATCTGCTGCATCCACATCCCTGGCTCATCCCTTTCCTTATCTCATGTGGACCCAAAAGCCAGTCCCCAAAGGATTGATTCTTTGCCCAAAGCAACGTGGCACAAAGGCCACTGAGCATCAGGGACACCCATGGATTTCCATCCCCCTGGCAGCCTGGGACATGTCTGGTGAAGAGTCACCATTTGAGCATATGGGGAGGTGTGGGATGCCCTGATGCCATGCTTTGACCCCAGTCTCTTCCTGCAGGAAATGTCATCAACACCAACTGCTCAGCTGCCCACAGCCGCCAGGCCCTGTCCTGCAAGATGGCTGTGGAGTACGACAAGTTCATCGAGTCTGGCAGAAAGTAAGCAGTGCCTGGGGCTGCCCTGGGAGACAGCAGGGCTGAGGGGCTGGGATGGTGCAAGCAGAGACCATTGGTGGTTTTGGAGCCATCTCTCAGTGTGGGCTCTGGGGAGCTGCCCTGGGCTGGTGTGACACTGCTGTCACTGCAGATGGTTCTGCCACGTGGACGATGACAACTACGTGAACGTGCGGATGCTGGTGAAGCTGCTCTCCAGCTACCCACACACACAGGACATCTACATCGGAAAGCCCAGCCTGGACCGGCCCATCCAGGCTACGGAGAGGATCAGTGAGAACAAGATGGTGAGAGTGGGGAGAGGTTGGGGCTGAATTAATTTTGGCTGGATGGGGAAGGAGGTCTCACTGCCATTGCTTCCCCTCTCCTGCAGCACCCTGTGCATTTCTGGTTTGCCACGGGCGGAGCAGGGTTCTGTATCAGCCGGGGTCTGGCACTGAAGATGAGCCCATGGGCCAGGTAAGAGTGTTGGCATTGCTCTCTCATGGGGACTCATCAAAGTCCCAAGTGAGGCACAGAGAGGTGACATCTTTTGGGATGAACATTAAACCATGTCCTACCTCCTTGCTCTCTTTGCCTCGCTGAGGATGTCTGCAGGGGGCTCGGAAACAAGCTGGGAAGGGCCTCGGTTCACTCAAATTGACTTTTAATCCGAGCTGGACACCCACTGGCCAAGCCCAGACCTTGCAGGGTGCCCACATCCCCTGGGCCTTGCTCCTCTGCAGCCCCTCTCTGTCTCCCCGCAGTGGGGGTCACTTCATGAGCACCGCGGAGAAGATCCGCCTGCCTGACGACTGCACCATCGGCTACATCATCGAGTCTGTGCTGGGGGTGAAGCTCATCCGGAGCAACCTCTTCCACTCGCACCTGGAGAACCTCCACCAGGTGCCCAAGTCGGAGATCCACAAACAGGTACCTCAAGTTGTCCCCTAAAAATTGGGCATCACAGCTAAGATGTTGATTGACATATGACCAAAACATCAGCAGAGGGGAAAAGCTCCATAGACTCATCCCTGTGGGGTGATGCAGAGTGTGCCTGGAGGCTTTGGGAAACGGGGTGAATTTTGCAGCCCCCCCCGTGCTCCTGCTTGATCCTTATGGCCATGTCGGCCACTTGACCCCCCTGTGCTTGCCCCTCAGGTGACACTAAGCTATGGCATGTTCGAAAACAAGCGCAACTCCATCCACATGAAGGGAGCCTTCTCTGTCGAGGAGGACCCATCCAGGTGAGATGGGGGCAGCCTGTCCCCCCCAGCCGGGGTGCCGTGGGGCTGGCTCTGCCTCGTGCTCAGCATCGCTCCTCTCCTCTGCAGGTTTCGCTCCGTGCATTGCCTGCTGTACCCTGACACGCCGTGGTGCCCCAC